GTGCCGTTCATTCCCACCAGGGATGACCCCCACTGCCTGGCCAGCTGGCCCCCACATGCTTCTCCAGCCAAAGCCCAAGATTCTAACTTACAGGAGGACCCACGTTACAGACCCGCGGGCCCTTCCTGGCTGTGGGCATCTCTCTCTCTGAGAAGGGCGGTGGGAGGGGTGGTGGGGTCCAGCCCTGACCTCCCCCCTACAGCCTCACAGCCCTCCCCCCTGCTGCGGCAGCTCGGCTGAGCTCCTGGGGCCCAGAGAGTGTCCACACCCTTCCCGTGCTCAGGAGACAACCGACTCTCTCCCTCTCATCCATTCCCACTTAAACATCACAGGACATTTGAAAAAATCTGTCCCAATTTTGGGGTGGAGAATGAGGTCAGTGAGCCCAAGTGGGGATTGCTTGTTAGTGACAGCTGACAGTCTCCATTTCACCTTGAAGCTCCTTTCTGGTCCAGGGGGGTGTGTCCTAAGCCTGGTTTTGCAGGGGTGCTGCTTGACTGGGCTGGGGCGGGGGGCAGGGAATGAGTGAGCAGGAAGGGAATTCATGGAACAGCAGTGTCAGTCATGGGCACTGCCAATCCCACTCCTAACATTTGTAGGGCCTGGGGCAGGAGAATGAGTGGGGGCCCACCTATCCAGGACTAAATATTTAAAAGTTAGAAATCGAGCCAACACACTCTCAATGACAACGTGTTCTAACCTCCCATCTTGACAAGGACGCTCTCATAACAACCTAGAAGACCAGGTTCCAATATAGATTTCTCCGACTCCAGGGAGAATAACGCTGTGCGGGGAGAGCTCCTTTCTGCACCGCAAGGGACACTGATGCACGTGTGCAGATGCCCAGCCTCACGTCCGGGCTCCGTCCTCATGCCTGACAAAGAGCTGCCCCTTAGCCGTCATCAGTGACCCTTCAAGTTCAGGGGAGCCCATGCTAACGACATAACCTGCTTTGAGAACCGGCCCAGGGCAGAAGTTTGCACAGGCCGGCAGCAAGCTGGTGACCATCTGGGCGGGGACCTCCCAAGTCACAGATCTGGGAAATGTGATCTTGATGGGGACATACAGCCTCTTCTCCTTGGCCTTGCTGACCCCTCAGCCCACAGGGAGAGGGCTGGCCAGAGAGGGATGCAAGCAGAGCCCTTGAAATCACCAGTGGGGACACAGGTTCTCCCTCCCCTGCTCAGGTTTAAGGGTGATTACTAGAGCCAGCCTTCCCCAGCAGCCTCCAGAGCTCGGGCCAGGGACTGAAGCTGTCTTTCCATTGGAGGGCAGCTTGGACAATCCCCAAACAGGACTTTTAGTCACTTGTATTATTTATCTTCCTGGAAAAATTTAGTGCAGCTTGATCCCAACTTGTAGATTTCTGGTGGCAAGGAGGGCAGGGAAGTGATGGCAACAGGCTTTTTTTTTTTTTTTTTTTTTTTCAGTTGGGTCTCTAAGCCACTCTGTTCTCTTAAGGCATAGCCCCAAGTGGGCTCCAGCTGCCAGTGACCCCTGCCCTGCTGGGCAGCCCCCTTCTTCTCCAAAAGAGGAGAGTGGCCCTGGGCACTGAGCAGCCCAGATGGGTCTAGCTGAGAGCCAGGGACCAGCAGGGGGCAGGGGCTGGAGGGGTGGTGGTGGTGAAGGGCATTGCTCTCTCTGGCCAAGTTTAAAAAAAACTCCCCCCCCACCGCCCCCGCAGATCGGCTTTGCTGTCCTACACGGAGGGGACACTCATACTTGCTGAGCTCTCACCAGGCCGCCAAGCAGTATGCTAAGCGCCCTCCCTGCATATTCTCATTTAATCCTTGCAGGCACCCTATGAGTTGGGTTCTATTATTATCCCCATTTTACAGGTGGGGAAGCAAATTCAAAGAGGTTAATTAAGAAACTTGCCCAAGGTCACATGGTAGGTACAGGTGATAGAGCTCAAGTCTAAGACCACAACAACCCTGCTTTTTCCACTATAGCACACTGCCTCCCAGAAGAAGCGGGCACAGAAGCAGAAGGGATGAAGGTCAGATATGAGAAAGAACTTCCTGACAGTGATAGTCTGTGTGGTGGAAGAAGACAACGGAATGGGGAAACTAGACACACACAGGAAGCCCTCCCACCTCCGTTGGATTTCCATCTGTCCCTGGGCTTGGGATGATCTCTAGAAGGTCTATGGGGTCCTGGCTGGATTCAGAGGGCACCATCCTGACCTCCCTTTTTTCTACAGTCCGGGGTCCTCTGCTCTATCCCAGCCCAGCACCAAGGCCCAAAGTCTGACTCTCCTTTGTGGCTCTGAGCATGACATCTGAGCTGTCGGCCCCACACCTCCTCTTCCAGGAAACCCTCCTTGAGTACTAGGAGGCAGGACCCCTTTCCTACAACCCAAACCCCAGCAAGGAGCCTACAAATTCACTCTGCGTCTGCAGGAAGACTCCCTTCGGTGATCACCTTTTCCACCTGGCTCTGGGACATGAACACAGAAAAGATACAGGCAGTCTCCAGGCTCTCTGGGCTCCCCAGATCGTCTGGATGATCCCTGGCTCCCTCACCCCCACTCACCCACGCATAACATATATTTGTTACCCAGGTGTAACAAATGATGCGGTTGCCCGGGGCTTACCAGAAAACCTGGGTCCCGGCTCAGCTGTGCACTCTTACCTCATTTACCCACAGAGCAGACGATGTTTGGGTCACCCCCATCACTCCCTAAGGGCTGGGAGAGGATGCCGCACTTGGATGAGGCCCAAGGAACCCAAGTCAGGGAGTGGGTCATCACCAGGAGCCTTGCAGTCAGTACCCCCAATCTAATGCTCTCCAGAAAGCCACGTGCCTAATGCCCGGCTCTGTCCTTTCTCACCCCTCAGAGCCCACCGGGGCATCAAGGATAACCAGCCGGGAGCCTCCAAACTTCTCCAGAGTTTAGTCCCACCCGCTAGCTGCCCAGCATCCCTGCGCAGAGCCAAAGGGTTGTCCTCGCTGTCCCTTGGGGTCTCCCAGTCTTGAGACCAGGGCACAGGACAGGTGGTGGGGCTGCCTTGTTCTCCCCGAGCTGCCCTCGAGGTCCTCAGCGTGGACCAGTCCGCGCCGCTGACTTACCTGCAGGGCAGAGACGGAGTCCGCCGCGGCCACCTGCTCTCGCTGCGCTCCGGAGCGCGGCGGCTTGGGGCTGGCCGGGGGAGGGGGCGGGGCCCGGCTCGGGGGCGGGGTCCGGGAGGGGGAGCCGCGGCGGAGCCCCTCCCTGGGTCGTGGTTGGGCCGAGTGGGCGGGTTCATTCAGGTGGGCTGAAAGGGAGGAGAGCTTCGGGGCCACTAGGAAAGGTCAGGAGCTCTGGCTTATTGAGTGCTGAAAAGGTAGGTTGCCTGCGTCCTGAGGACTCCACGAACCCCCCTGCTTCGGGCAGCCTAGCCCACATGGCCGGGAGGCCGTGGCTCCACATGAAGACCCTTCACCAGAAAAAGAAAGCTTTGGAACCTCTCGTGGCCTGAGTTTTCCCTTCCATCCTAGCTCAAGAAAGCTCTCCCAGCCTGGCAAGGTGGGTGCGAGACAGGTCACCCAGTCTAAAGTCCAGGCCCCCCATCCAAAGGGCAGCGGCATAGGGGTCCAGGCCACTGAGAGGACCATTAGGTGCCCGGGTTGTCTTTAACCTCCATCCATCTCTCCCTGCAACACTAGCCCCTGCCCCCAACGCCAGCTCAAGCCCCTCAGCTGTCACCGTTTAGCCCTGGAATGACAGGCGTCCAGACTCCGTGCGTCCAGCCACATTCAAGGCCACTGAGCTTAGCACCCCTGGGCCCCTGCCCCCCTCCCTCGGCCCCCAGTCGCTAATTTTATTGACCTGTAAAAGGCACGTTGTTGGCAGGGGAGATAACTGAAGGCGAAGTGGGAGTGGATGGGCAGAAGACAGGCCCCAGGAGGCGGAGATGTGACAACAGGGAGAAGGGCGAGTCCTGGAACCAAGGCTGAGGGACACTGGAGATTAGGAGGAAGACCCCTAGGGAAAGGGGTACCCTCTGGGGCGATGGAGACCAGAGAGACTGGAACTGGAATTTCAGCCTCCATCAGACAAGAGACAGACCGGAGAAAGAAGGTGCTGGGGGAAAGAGAGGACTTCATTTCCCCGTCTACCTCTTAGGCAGGACCAAGGATGTAGCAGGAGGGAAGGGGGTTAGATGGCGGGAAGGACCGCCATCCTGCTCTCAAATCTCTGCCCTAGCCCCCTCCCTTCCTCTTGAAGGTGACTCCTGCCTGCTGGGCCTCTTACTACAGAAATAGCCCTTTCCCTGAAGAATCAACCTAGATCTTGCCTTTCTTTCTCTTCTTTCTTGTTAAAATGAGAACAGAAAATTTAGGCCTTTACCACTTCCCCCACTCCCATGCCTATCTGAGCACCATGCCTGCAGTCCTGGATCTCAGCCTCTCCCCAGTCCAGGGAGGTGACCTGGGGGTTAGGGGAAGACGGAGGGAGCACTGCTGGGGTTGGAGCCTCTAAGGAGGGGGGGGGGGGGGGGGGGGGGGCGGCTCACCTTCTGGATGGCTCTCAAATTTAAACTTGTGATGCTCTCTCCAAATAATGTTACATGGGAACCATAAAGAGGGGTGGTTAAAAAACAAAACAACTTTAACATTAAAAATAGACCACAAAGCAGATCAGGGCTGGGGAGGGGTTACTTGGGAACGAGGAAACTTTTAAGGGTGATGGCTATGTTTGTTATTTTGATTGTGGAGGATAGGTTAAAATTTATCAAGCTGTACACTATGAATATGTAGTGTATTTTATGTCAATTATACCTCAACAGATTTTTTAAATACATCTTTTTTTTTTTTTTAAGATTTTATGTATTTGAGAGAGTCCAAGATAGCAAGAGAGAACATGAGTGGGGAAGAGAGGGGAGAAGCAGGCTCCCTGCTGAGCAGAGAGCCCTAGGTGGGGCTTGATCCCAGGACCATGAGATCATGACCTGAGCTGAAGGTAGACGCTTAACCAACTGAGCCACCCAGGCTCCCCACCACATCTTTTCTATAGCAATTTTCTACTAGTTTATTTTCAATTTATGAGGAGCCTCAAAAAATAGAGGGGAAGGAATGTCAAGGAGTCAAGGGAAACCGTGTTCATTGCTAGTAGAGTGTGGACAGCTTCCTGCCTGTTTCCTCCCCAACCCCTGCCTCCATCCAGCGCTTTTGAGTATTTGTGGGTGTGAGGAGGGCTTGGGGGCGAGCTGTGGTCCCCGAGTTGCTTCCTCAGTGTGGGAGTCTGAGCCAGCTTGGGCGCCCCAGGTTCCTCTGTGGCTGGTCAGCATGGCACCCACAAGCTGATGACTCAGGCTGGAGGGGCTTGGCCCCAAGCTTTGCCAGGGGAAGACAGTGGCTGCTGCGGACTCTCCTGCCCCCTGCAGGCGGAGGTGGGCACTGCAGTGACAAGGGGTTCATTCCAAGGAGAGGTTGGCCAGGTTCTGGGTGCAGTGCTGCAGGTAGTCAAAGTCAGGCACTGGGAAGGGCACGCGGGACCACTTCTTGGACTGGACTCTCCCCTGGGGCGTCTGTAGAAGCATGCTGCGGACCCGGAGCGCCGGCAGCTTCACTGACTTGTAGATCATCTGCAGACCCCAGGCCTGAGGGTGGAACAGGGAAGGCTGGGCTGGGGTCACTGTCCTCAGACTGGGCTTCTCTCCTCAAGGTGGGGGATCTGTGAATGCAGGGCCTGTGTCTCCCACCTCAGAGCTGTCTCTGCAATCACATCGTGGGCTCCCTAAGCTAGCAGTTCAACCCTTCTCCTCCACCTGGGGGCTCCTGCGGCGGAACAGGAGGATGTCCTGATGGCAGAAGGCTGGGCCTCCTCTCTCAGACTAGGGATTCTGAAGACTGGAGTTGAGGGCTGAGGCCCAAACACTTACCTCCCCACAGTTCCTGCAGTGAATGGTACCCCCAGGCTTCCAGTCCTTGAAGGCTCTGTCAATGACCACAGCCCCCCCGGGAGACACTGTAGTAGATCCTGGAGAGGAATGGGAGTCAGTCCTCATGCCCTCCTGCTTGCTGGGTCTCGGGCTCTTCTGCCTGCCAAGAGGCACAGAGACTCCGCAGAGCCTGGAGCTCTGCCCTCCAGTAAGTTCTGCCTGTGCGGCCTCATTGCGTGCCCTCTGCTCGGGCTCAGGCCTCAGCACTATACACCCAGATGATTCTAACCATCCCACCCCCCGGTGCCTCTCCCAGCTCCACCTTTCCATCCCAATTCATCACTCCCAACCCACACCATCCTTCCACCAACTGCCAGGGTGATCTTCTAAAAATGTAAATCTGACCTTGACATTCCCTTGCTCAAAATCCACCCAAGACTCCTCTCTGCCTGTGGGACAAAGGCCAGACTTTCAGGCCTGAACTTCACGGCTCTCCCCCGGCCAGCCTGTCTTCTTCAGGGTCTCATCCTTCACAGTCCTTCCCACACGAGCCAGCCAGAGGCAGTGCTCGCACATCATCCCTGCCTGGGCTCATCCCCCCTACCAGCCTGATCCGTCCTACAAGAACTCATTAAAATGCCGCCTCCTTAAATGAGAGGACCTGGTGTGTAGATCCTTGGCCCAGGGGCCTGGCACACAGTGGCTCCCTAGTAAATACTTAATGAATGGATGGATGGATGGACGGATGGAGGATGGGGGAAGGTTACCCTCAAGAGGACAGAGGATGAGAGGGTGATGGTTCAGGGACAAGCAGCCCCTCTGTCTTCAGAGTAGGTGGGACTGGATGGGGATGTGGGTGGGAAGCCCAGTTCATGGCCTCTCAGCATTTGGTATCCTGAACTCCAGTGCCTGCCCAACCACCCAGTGGCCATGGGAGCCCGGACAAGTCACTCTGCCTCTCTGAGCCTCTGTTTGCTTACATGTGAAATGGGGCAGTGATAAAACCTGTCTAGCCAGCTGCTTGAAAATACAGACTCGGTACTTGTCAAAAATGCCCTTTCAGCTCCCAAAGTCTCAGGGCACGGTCTGGATGGGAGGCGTTCTCTGTCCCCCATCATGCCCCTCCCTCCCTCTCATCCTGCCAGCCCCTTCCCCTGGCCTCACGAGAAGTTGGGGTTCACGTTGACGTGGTGGGCGTCCTCCACCTTCCGCAGGTCACTCCCATGGCCCACAGCCACCATGCAGTTGACACAGAGGAGCTGCACCTCCTCAGCCAAGAACTGCTGCCGCTGACTCTCCCGCTGGGCTACCCGGGCCGCCCGCTTGACCAGAGTGCTCCGCTGCAGGTCCCGGATCTGGGGTCAAAGGGGACACCAGGCAGAGCTGGGGCCTCACAGGCCTGACCCCTGGAACACTCTCAGGATCCAAGGGCTCCCGAAGACCTCAGATCATTAGTACTCGGAAGGGACTTCCCTCCACCCTCCCTGGAGCTTCGAGAAGCAGCTCTGTGGAGAAAAAGAATATGGACCAGGGGCAATGCTGGGAGCAGGGACAATGCTGGGAGCAGGGCAAGCTCTGTTGCCGAGTCTCTGCCCCCTCTATGGAGGATTTTGTGCAAAGCTGCTTCTTGGACTGTAACATGGGGCATCACTAATAATTGGGCTGGGATGACAGGGGTCCACAGGGACCGTCCTGGGTGAGGTTGGACAATGGTGACCCTGCCTCAGGGGAAACTGATTTAAGTCCTGGTTCTGGGCTTATTTTGGGCACATGTCTTTGTTTGTTTCCCCCCAGCCTGGTGCCGGAAGCACTGTAAGGCAGCCCTCACAGATACATGAAGTATTTGGTGACATGGCATCTTGGAGAAGAGCCATTGCCTTCCCAGGAAGCCCCAGCCTTGGCCTCTACCCTCCCTGCCATTCAGACGTTCCCAGGCGGGCCACATCAGTCCCCAGGAAAGGGGGAGCAGGGGCGTGTGTGTGCACATGTGCAGCCAGAGGCCTTCCAGGCAGAGTGCCCTCAGCCTCCCCTCCCCCAGCCCGCACGGTGTGCAGACCACCCAGACCTTGGCCTGGTACTCGGCCTCGTCCATCTCCTGCACAGCGGCCACGGCCTGCTCCATCAGCCTCTCCAGCACCTCATTGGTCAGCTCCCGCCGCAGCTCCCGACTGCCTTGGGTTGCCACAAACGAGTATTTGCTCTGACCAGCCCGGGCGCGGCCCCTGGCCTGAGGGAGGAGATTGGGCGCAGCCTTGAGTGGGCCTGTGGTCCCACGAGGACCTTTGAGGGCTGTTGGCAACACAGGGTTTGCACACCTGGACCATGGAGATCTCGTTGGTCAGGAGCCCGTAGCGCACCACCACGTTGCACTGGGGGATGTCCAGTCCCTCTTCCGCCACACTCGTGGCCACCAGGAGGTTCAGGGTGCCAGTCCGGAACTTCCGGATCACTTCTTGTTGGTCTCTCTGGGGTGGGGGAGGAGCAAGAGGATGGGCGCCAAGTGGTTTGCCTGCCCTCCTGTGACCCAGCATCACCTGGTTCGAGAGTTTGCCCCTTTTCCGAGGGAGCCTGAGTCTCCACCGCTACCCCCAGCATCTTGCCCGTCTTGCCAGCTAACCTCACCTAACCCCTGCCTCCCCTACAGACTCTTAAGGGCCCCCACCTGTCTATGGTAGGAGGTCGCAGGACCTATTCTTCTCCAGCAAGGGACTCCAGACCTCTGATCCTCTGTCCTGAAAACACCACTTTCCTCCTTCCCTGCAGATTCCCCAAGCGTCAGCCTCTCTGCGCCCAGGGACCCCCAAACTAGGAAAACCCTCAGTACCAGGGATCTCAGAGTGCACCCCTCTCCCCCTGTTCTCTGCCTTCTGCCTGGGGAAACCAGGCCCCCACAGCTCCGTGAAGACTCTACCCCACCCCTCTCCCCTAAGAACTCCCCCAGTGCTGGCTCCTCTCCTCAAAGCCCACACCTGGGTCATATGGGTGTTTTGGCTGTTGTTCCCCGCCCCGATCAGCAGGTCAGCCCTGATGTCCATGGTCTGCAGGCCCGGCTGCTGCTGGAGCCAGAGCAGGAGGGAGTGGACGCTCTGGCGGGTCTGCATGAAGATGATGCCCCGGGGGCTATCGTCGCTGCCCCCAAACTGCTCCCGCAGGATCTGTTCTAGCATCTCCAGTTTTGGGTTCTCCGGGCTGCACGTTGCCAGGTGGGCCAGCTCATTCTTGTAATCTGCCAGAAAGGCCCAAAACAGAGGCACAGGCATCAGGCCTGGAGGTGGGCAGGGCAGGGCGGGAGAGGGTGTGGCTCACAGGGACAGGACTGTGGGTGTAGAGGGAGCCTGAAGCTATCTGCCCCTGATTCCCCCTGAAGGGCCCCAATACAACACTCAAGGACATGCTCTGCCCACCCACCCAGCCTGACACCAGGGGCCTACAGTACAGAATTCTTCGCAGACACATCTCTGACCTCTGCTACCCAGGATTAACTCAACCTCAGGTGTCTCTGTTCAGAAAGGTCCTTGCCCCACCCCTCAGGCTTGCTGAGGCCTCTTGCCTTAAATGCCACTCGCAGACCACCTCCCCTTCCCAGCTTCAAGGTATCACAACACCCCAGACTTTCAAAAAACAGTCCCCCAACTAAATGAATTCGTTTTCATGTCTATACAAACCTTTAAAAATGAGGGCATACATCTTTTGTCCTATCCAGGTCCTTGACTCTCGGTTAGAAAAACAGGGCCCCAGTACCCTCGTTGGCCCCTTGCCTCCCTGCGTTGGCGCCGGGGTTCCGTCTAGTCCAGTTCCCGCGGGTCTCACCATCGAACAGCGCCAGCAGCCAGCGCTCGGCCTGCAGGATCTGGGTCTTCGTGATGCGCTCCTTGTCGTAGAAATCCCGCAGCCAGTCCAGGGCGTCCACAGCACGGACCGTGTCGTGGATGAGCAGCGCATCGTTGTAGCGCCGCAGGTGAAGAGCGTAGACCCGACGCTCCTGGAGCCCGGCCTTGGCCGCTGCGGGAGGGATGGGGGGCGGGGGAAGGCCTCAGGGTCTGAGCGGCCACGCCCCTCCAGGCCTGCTCCGGCCTTAGACTCAGCCGCCCCCCCCCCCCCCCCCGCCCCCCCCGCGCCCCGGGGGGAGCTCCGCCCCGGCAGGTCCCGGCCTCCAGGCCCTCCGAGCCGACCGCCCTTCTCACCAGCCTGGCTCAGCTCCACCACCTGCTGCTCGTAATTCTGCGTCCCGAAGTCCCGGCTCACCTCGAGCATCTCCAGGCGGTTGTGGATTTGGTCCATGAGTTTCTTCAGTGTGTCCCTAAATGGGTCCTGGATGGGAAGAGGGCGTGAAGGGATTCCCATACACCGGTGGGGGGGGCGGGGAGCCGTGAACACCCTGCATGGCTCCTGCCGCCAGGTCGGTGTTTGAGAAGAGGGCGCTCCAGAGAGAAGCCTGCGGGGATATGAAGGAGTCCCAGCTGGAGGCTGGGGTCCTGCTCTGCCTCGACCTCCTGCGTGCCCTTGACCTCTGGCCCGGGGACAGCAATGTCTTAAGTTCTTATGCAGCCCTTGTCCTAGCAGACGCCAGACAGTGTCTACACCTCAGGAGAGACCCTCTGCCCGAGGTGTAGGGCCCGAAGTGTAGGGTTTGCAAAGCATCCCACAGGGTTTCTACAGATGCCCACGGAGGCATCAGGGAGTCAAACAGCAGGCTGTGGGCACGGGCTGGAGCTTCCCCATTTCACAAAACCGACAAACAGAGGCTCAGACAAATAAAAAAGTACCCAGAAGTCCCAGAGCTCCAGTGGGTGGAGTCAGGGCTCAAGGCCAGGTGCCCTAACTTCACATCAGACGCCCCCCCTCGCCCCCACCCCGCCCCACTCACCTGGGTGCGCTTGTGGCAGAGGTTGTACTGTTTGCAGGGCTGAGGCCTGAGCTCCTGCAGCTGGGGGAGGTAGGTCTTCGGTGACATGATGCGCCATGTGTCCAGGTTGGCACAGAGCTGGGTAAAGACAAAAGGGTTCACTCGAATGGGGGACAGTCCTGTGAGGACAGTGGGCAGAACTCTGAGACTGAGTGAGGTCCCAGCGGCCCTGGAGCAGGGCCACCGAAGTGGGGATTCACTTCCTCAACAAATATTTATTGCTCGCCAGCTCTGTGCCCAGGGCTGTTGTAGGTAGCGGGGATCCAAAGAGTCTTATTTTGGAGTCGGGGAGACAGATGTTAAACCAGTGAAGCTAGCAAAATGGGAGGGTTTCGGGCAGTAGTTAATGAGCTCTGAAGACAATAAAATTGGATGGCATGTTAGGGTGCAGTGGGGGTGATCAGGGAAGGTTCTGAGGCGGTGACATTTAAGCTGTTCCCTGAGTGACAAGAAGAAGCCAGACAGGTCAAGTGCAGGGGGAAGGGCATTCAGGGCAAAAGGGAGAGCGAGTACAAAGGTCCTGAGAAGGACCTGATATGGTCAAGATCCAGAAAGAAGGCTGGTAGAGTAGGCGTGAGGGGAGGGTGCCAGAAACGAGGTTGGAGAGGCAGGCTGGGTCCATGGAACTTTTGTAAACCACGATAGACCACAGAGTCTAATCTAAGCGCAGTGAGAAGCCACTGGGGGCTGGAGCTTGTGTGCCTGGGAGAGCCTGGGGAGGGCATGGGGCAGGGGGCGGGGGTGGGGGGCTCTGGTAGGGGCAGGGCCACGGGGGCCAAGCTGACCTGCAGGATGTGGTCGATGGCCCCCTTGAGCGTGGAGGCCCCGCCGGTGCCTGGGGAGGCTGTGAGCCCCAGCACCTGGGGCAGGGGCCGCATCCTCTGGAGTTTATGCTCTAAGTACCGGCTCAGGATGACATTGTAGACAGTGTCTTTGTGCGTGTGGTGACACTCATCCACCATGAGCAGGGAGAAGGCTGGGGACACGAGGGGCAAGGCTGTGACCTACACCTGCAAAGCCCTTCCTCCCCCATAAGCTTTTCTGAGCGCAGCCCCCACAGGTCGTTTCTCTCCTTCCTCCTTTCTCAACTTGCACCGGGGCTCCGGAGAGCAGCCTAGGCAGGGGTGACTTACCTTCATTTTACACATTAGTCAACTGAGGTTCGGCGGGGTGGCTCGGGGGACTTGCCGCAGATCCCACACCATAGCCAGGCTGACTTCCATGATGGTGTATGGTGAATGGGGAACCCCTCACTCCCACCAAATGTCCCGCAGCTTTACTGGAAGGGGTGTCCTGGGGGCAGCAGGTAGGCTGCCTCAGGTGCGTACCCTTGGCCCTCGCTCACAGCCCTCACCATTGAGCTCCACGTGCTCCTCCTCCTCGGGGCTGGTCAGCGCCATCTGGAGCAGCTCCGCTGTGCAGATGATCAGGTCATGGCTCCGGGCCAGGTGGCCAAAGCCAGCTCGTGGCCCCATGTCCCCGCTCAGGGTTATAATGGCCCAGCGTCTGTCCAGCATGCGGCTGAACTCCTCACAATGCTGGCTCACCAGGTGCACCTGCGGATGGAGAATGAGGTGAGGGCAGGAAGCTGGACAGGTGGCAAGGTGACCCCCCAGGACTGGGCTGGGGACAGGAATGGGAGAAAAGGCAGGTGAGCTTAGAGGTGGCCACGGCAGCCCCGGAGTTCGGGACGGGCTCTGGAGACACCTGAGGAGCTGAGACCCCGCCGAGGGGAGTGTGGGCTACTCACCCTGTTGACCAGTACCACCACCTTGGCTCTGTCCACAGTCTCCAGATGCCTTTTGGCCACGTACGCAGCCGCCCGGGTCTTCCCAGCCCCCGTGGGCAGCCACACGATGATATTCTTGCCCTCTAGGGCAGGCATGATTACCTCCCACTGGTAGGGTCGCAACTCCATCTTGAGAATGGAAGGAGACTCTGACCCCTGGCCCACCCAGCCCCCTCCCAGCTCCCACCCCCCCCCCCCCTGCCCCTGGAAAACCCAGTCTGGGGCCCGAGACCACCCCATCCCCACTTGAGGGAGGTGGGGCAGGGCAGGGCAGGGATCTACCTGGAACCTGATCTGGCCAAGACAGGAGGCAGAAGTAACACAAACTCTACCTGACTTCTGCCCTGTCGGGTCTTATCTGCAACACCTGCCGAGGCGAGGGCCGGCTTAGCTTAGCCGGATGCCGATGCCGGTGCGGATGCCGGTGCCCCTGGGCTGAGCAGAAATCGAAAACAGAAACTGAAACTGAGGGAGGAGTCAGCTCCGGCAGAGTTCAGCCTTAGGAATCTCCCTTCCCCCTTTGCCCCTCCCCCAGCAAAGCTGCAGGAAAGTACCCTTTCACTCCTCCTGGGTCCTGCAGGTCCCTTCCCCAACAGCAGAGTCTCAGCCACCCCACCCCGACCCCACGCCTTTTGAGCCAGCTGTAACCATGTAGACCCAGGCCAAGGCGGCCGGGTGGAGAACTGGGACCCCTGCAGCCCCCACACCTGGACCAGGAGCAGCCAGGAGCAGGGAGAAGTGGGGGATGCAGCCATCACTGCAGGGGCGCCGGACTAGGCAGGAGGCTGGTGGCGGAGGGTGGCCCCTGCACCAGCGGAATTTTTTAAGAGTGTACTTATTTGAGAGAGAGCACGTGCCAGAAAGCAGGAGCAGGGGGAGTGGCAGAGGAATAGGGAGAAGCAGGCTCCCCGCTGAGAACGAGGGTCGATCCCAGGACCCCCGGATCATGACTAGAGGGGAAGGCAGACACTTAACCGACTGAGCCCCCCAGGTGCCCCATCCATCTGAGCTTTAATAGGTGCACTTCTGCAGGAGGTCCGGGCAGGAACGGGGTCAACCTGCCAAGGTTGGGGACCTTACCAAAGAAACAATCACACAGAGAAAAAAAAAAGAGCTTTATTGTTCCCTCTGAGGGATTAATGCCAGGAAATGAATGGTCCCCGGGCCCCCCACTCCTAGGGGGCAGACAGACAGTGCAGGGTGAGGGGTGAGGCAAGGCCCCTCCAATCCCAGCTGAACTTCAAACACTTAAGCCCCTCTCTCACGCTAAGATGTACAGTCCCCACCCTCCAGGAAACAATGGGCTGGGTCAGGCCCAGGACTCCAAGACTCCATGGCTCTGTGGGTACAGGGCTGGGGGCCACCGGGGCCGGTCAGGGCTTATCCTCTGGCCAGCAGCCACTTGGGAGGGGCTGAGCCCCGGACCCAGGAGACCCCTCCCCAAGGTCAGATACAACGAAAGCTGTGTGTGCAGGTGGGGGGCACCTGCAGTTCCAGGAAGGGCCGCAGGGCCGGGGGCTGGAGCGTCCGGAGCTGAGAGGCACCAGGCCTCCAGGGCCGCCCCCTGGCCATCGGATCAGAACCCGAGGTGGAGACATTCCAGGTCAAGGCTGCGGTCCAAAGCCGGAGACTACTTGTCAATGAGCCCCCCCTCCTTGAGCTTGAAGTAGAAGAACTTCTCCAGGGCGCTGGCGCAGCGGCAGTACTCGCTGTCCGGGGGGGTGTACTCGCGGCAGTTGGCGATGACCCGCTGCAGGTCGGCCACGAAGAGCTTGCGGGTGACGTAGTAGCGGCTGCGCAGTCGCTCAGTCATGGTCTTCAGGTCTGGGGCGGCGGGACGTAAGGGCTCACCTTTAGGAAGCTGGGGAGGGCAGGGCCGTGGGGCCCAGGGAAGGCAGAGGCAGGGGCAGGTTTGGGGGGCAGGAATGGAGCGTCCTCACCAATAGGGAAGCGGATGACCTCGTAGTAGTCAGGGGCTTCCGCCTTCTTCACAGGCTCCATGAAGGGCCAGGCACTGGGGTGTGACTGGAGAGGAAAGCCGAGCTGGAGCCAGGCCCACTGTGCCCTCCGCCCAGCTGGTGAGTACCACCCACCCCAGCCACTGGCGCAGGTGCCCCCAGAAGGGAACCTGGTCTCCCCACCTTGATCTGGGCCAGCAAGTTTTTGAGGGTCGTATAGAGCTGGTCTGGATCCTTCAGCTCCTTCCTGGGGCAAGAGATGCCACGTCTGAGGCCCTGGGTCCTTCTGCCTCCCCTGACACCCACCTCCTCCACACAATACTCACCCCTTCTCCTTCCCCAGTGGCTTCCAGCCCGTCTCTCCTGCAAAGTGGGGAGTGGGGAGAGCATCCCTAAGAATTTGAGAACACACCCCCAGCAGGGTGCCCCCTCCCCCACCAAGACCCCTGCTCACGAATGCCGGGGACACTCTCCACGGGGATCTGCCTCACTCCCTCCTTGAAGCAGCTGAGCCCGGGGTACACCTTTCGGATCTGGGCCTGTTTGCGCTCAATCAGCTTCTTGATGATCTGAGGGAAGGCAGGGCCTGAGAGGCCAACTCCAGCCCCAGCAGCAACCCTCCCAGGGCCAGAGGCAGAGGCCCTGCCCCTGAGCCCAGGCCCCTCACCACCTAACTTCCCTGAGAGGCAAAGCAAGAACCAAGATCCTGGCCCATGCCCACCTCACAAGTGCACATACGTGTGGCACATATCCACACACGTGTGCTCACCCCTCCACGCACATGAAAAGTCCCAGGGCTGAGTACATGCGCACGCGCACACACGCACACACGCATACACACACACCTCCTTCTGCTTTTTGATGATGTGGGACAGCTCCGTGTAGGGGATCCGGGGATTCAGCTCACACTCCATCAATGTTGCACCCTCATAGTCCTTAATGTAGCCCAGGTAGCGGCTCTTGGGCACTTTGATGTCCTTGGAGAAGCCCTAGGGAGTGGACAGTTATGACCTGACCCACTAGCAAGGCCCTTCCAACTTGAATCACCCTTCCCCCAGAAGCCCCCTGAGGGGCCATGCAGGCCATGTCCCCTTCTCCCTGGTTCCCGGATCACCTTCTATGGTAGCTGGTGTGCAGGCGGGGGGCTCTGCATTGTGTGGGCTCAATTAATCTGTCCCTGGGAAGGCTCTAGGTCAGCTGCCCCTCCCAGCCCACCCTCAAGAGTCTCCCAGTTCTTCCAGCCTGCCTGACTGCCCTACAGGTCCCTACTCTTCACTGGGGCAGCAGCGGGAGGCAGGCAGCTGGGCACGAAAGACTTCCCTTCCCTCCCATCCCATCCCATCCCATCCCCACCAGCAGGCTGGACAGGATGACCTCTAGCCCCAGGCAGCAGGCAAGTGTGGGCTGAGGCAAGGGTCACCTGCTTTTTGAAGTAGCCGATGGCATACTCGTCAGCATAGGTGAGGAAGTAGAGGATGTTGTGTTTGATGTGATACTCCTTCAGGTGGTTCATCAGGTGAGTCCCATAGCCCTGCGGGGGAGGGGGGCAGGGCTTAGCAGGGGGGCCCCGAATGGAGAGAGCAGACTGCATAGGAGGTAGGGACAGCCAGGGGACCCAGGACAGGGAGGAGGAAAGGCAACTGGCAGAGGAACTGAAGTTTGTGGGGAGAAAGCGAAGGACACTGGGTTTCTAAGCGCTTACTCAGGGCCACGAGTGGTGCCTGGGACTTTACAGACCACCTCTCAGGTCAGCCCACGAGGTGAGTATTTTTACCTCCATTTCCCAGAGAAAAAAACCCAAGAAACCAAAACCTGCAACCCAACTATGTTAACTACGTTAGAAAACGTGTCCAAAGTCAGCCAGCCAGCCATGGTAAGGCCAGGACTGAAATCCCAACCAGGAAGTTGCGGTCCCCATGTCACTGGTTCCCAGTTCCTGGGCCTCAGAGTGAGGGGGGAAGGGGAAGAGGAATCACAAGGGCCCTACTCATTTCAAATCTGAACCCTAAAGAGAGAGTGTCTCCCATACAGGTCAAGACCGAGTGGCACCATGCAAATCTGGCTTACAGAAACCAGGAGAACTGGGAACCCTACCAGCGGGTCTCTTATGCCAACCATGGACAGAACCCAGGACTATCACCCAGCACCAGGCTAGTGTAAAAACTATTAACTCCTCGGTATATGTGAATGTTCCGGTGTTGAAAGAAATTCAGGTTCATTTAAAAGTGTTATTCGTAGGGGTGTCTGGGTGGCTCAGTCGGTTAAGTGGCCAACTCCTGATTTCAGCCCAGATCACGATCTCTGGGTTGTGAGATCGAGCCCCACATCAGACTCTATGCTCAGCAGGGAGTCTGCTTGAGATTCTCTCCCTCTGCCCCTCCCCCTGCTTGTGTGCTTATGCGTTCACTCACTCTCTCTATATAAAATAAATAAACCTTTAAAAAAAGAAAATAAGAGCATTAATGGTTTGGGGACTCTAAAGTGTTTTCTTAACGCAGTTACCAAAGGACAACCGCCCCCTTGTGGGGCTGGGAGGAACTAGCCGGCCACTGAAAGAGGGACTGGAGACTGTGGCTTCCCCTCTGTGCAAACTGGGGCTGGGGCTAAGGCACTCACCTTGACCTGCTCATTCGAGGTGACGGCGCAGAAGACAATCTCTGTGAAGCCCTGAGTGGGAAACATGCGGAAGCAGATCCCACCGATGACCCGCCCATCCTTGATCAAGGCCAGAGTCTTGTGCTTCCTAAGGGGAGAGGGGAAAGGTCACGGCCCCTACCTGGTCCCCAAATGCCTCCCAGGTCCCTAGAGCCTTGGAGGCCAGGGCTGTATTCAGAGCCAGAAGCGGAAGAGCAAGTATTCCCACAGGCTGGGGACGGTCATGGTGCCTGGGGCTGGGGCCCTTGTGGGGACGCACGGGTCAAAGACAAGGCGGGCGATATACTCCTTGGGCATGCGTGGCAGCTGATGGGAGAAGACGTTCTGCAGCCCCACAAGCCAGAGCAACACCCGCCGGTTGGCCTTGGGTGTCAGCGAGTTGCCGATGACATGGAACTCGATGATGCCGCGGCGCTCCTCCAGGCGGGCTGTCTCGTCCCGGGCTGCGTTGGCCGACAGCAGGCTCGTCTGGGCACCAGAGGTAAGGGAGTGAGCTGCGGCTTCTGGCCGGTGAGGCCCCTCCCCACACTATGTAGCGAGCCAGGCTGCCCACCTCAGGCCCCAGCATGGCGGCGGGGTCGGTGATGGTGAGCATGACCTCGTTGACCAGCTCCATGGGGATGTCGCCCATGACACGGAGCCGCTTGGCATCCTCCAGGGTCAGGTTCTCTGGGAGCTTCCTCTTCTCACCTGCTGGGGAAGGTTGGCAGGGTCTCCGGTGGACAGCAAAAGAGGTTAGGGGGGCCAAATGAGAGTCAGGGGTCAGGGGTCAAGTACGCACCTGGCATGGGCTCAGCCCCTCCGGAATCCAGGCTCA